TGGTCAGCATCTGTTAACGCAACGAGCAAAAGCCTCAAGTCCAGTGTATAAAAGACCAAAAAGGTGGCGCGCTTCTAAACATGCAGACAGGGTAGGTTAGGGCTCACTGGCGACAGTCCGGTCACTAACGAAACCACTGGGGCTACGTTTTGTGGGCAAGACCGAATTACGCACATCGGTTGGCGCGACTGTTAATGCGTCGTGATAGTCTCAAAGTGGATGTGGCTGTTTTTATAACGAGGAGGTCAAACACTAGGCATGGGCTGAGGCGATCTCACTCCCGCTTCTCTTGTTCTGGTCAAGCTGGCCGTGGATGATGCTGTGGGCAGTGGTTGACGCGAAGGGACCGGCTAGAAGCCTTACAAGCCGGAACAGTTCATGTGGTGAGTAAATTCGTGGAGACAATGTGGGCAAGAGTACTAGGTGAGATGTGACGATCGTTGTCGTCAATCAGGCAGCCCACGTGAGTGCGTGTGTGTGGCACGCACGCCGCGTCATCTACTGTGCCCAATCCCATCACCTGTTGGTTGTCAAGCCTAGGAGAAGAAAAAGAGGATTGAACCGACACTGGGAAATCCATCCTGACCGCAACAATTTGTGACGCGTTTGGATTTATCACGACGCGGTAGTGTGATAGTTCGACCGCCGCATTCGACGATGTCCACCGTGTGCTCCACAGCAATGTGAGGCAGGCATACAGCAACATCCCAACACGGGTCAGAAGGACAACGAGAATGAGGGTAGACTTGCGCAGCATCTACCTCACTCTCTCCTTCCCCCCACACCTGGACCCGGGATCAAGACAGAGTTAGGAAGATTGGAGACGGGGAGGGCGCGGCTGAACCCGCACCTTGACGCTCCACGCCTAACCCCCTGGTCCACAACAAACACTTGACCGGGATTTTGACCAACAACAACATCAACAACAATAGAAAGGACGTGGATGACTGGGCAGCCATACACGCAACCGCATCTACCGCCCGAGAACGGGGTACCGGAGAACTGCCAGCGCACGCCTGGCTGCGAGGGCCACGGTTTGCTGACCATGGCATAGCAGACGCCCGGAAAGCTAATAGTAGTAGTGGTTTAAACCGGTCAACGGGGTAACTCGGTCCTTCTCAGAACCGAGTCAGACTACAACAGCTCCATATTAATGTGGCCTTTATGACATTCAAGCCACCCTTACTGAAACCGGCGCATGTCGGGCCGTGTGTGGCGCGTGGCGCCTTGCTAATCACTGCACCCCAGGCCAACCTGTTGTCCAGGTGGGTGGGGAAGAAGAGAGTGTGATAGATGCTTCGCAAGTCCTGCATCCCACTCCGTGGGGCACGCGGTGGAGGTTGTCGTTCGCGATGGTCAAACTGTTGTATGACCAAACAGGGTCATTCGGTGGTTTAATGTGGGGATACGGTGTGGGGGTGGGAGGATGGGCATGAAGGATGTTAACCGGAGTCCCAGGTACTGGTCCTCTACCCAATTTACAATGTATTCGCATGTGACCCACTATGCCGATGTGTGACTGAAATGTGCGGTCACAGTGGAGGAGACAAACGCACCGAGTCTGCACCAGAGGGAGACGTGAAGTTACAGTTGGGGCATGTGGAGGGGGGTTTCACCGACGACATCTTGTTGTGCACAGGGTGGGCTGATAAGTCAAAGCTATTCCAGGCATTTAGCGGACCTTGGCAGTGAGGACAAAATGAAATGAAATGAGTTGGGTAATGATGGCGTCTTTCGTGTCTGCTCCAGTCTTGACAACTGTCCGCCACGATACAGCGGAAACGGTTGAGGCATATACCGTCACTACCGTCAACGGATGTTTTTCCTGTACTGATCTGCGCTTGGAGCGGGTGAGATTACAACTAATCTAGCCGGCCTTTATCATAGTACGACCTACAAAATTCCAGGCTTGACGGCTGGTGTGACTCACCTATCTTCCCTACAACGACGGAAACCGAATTCTGAGGATCAGCGAACAACCCGACAGATTTCATTCACCCGTGACACCACAGACTGCAGATCATTAAAACCTGATGCTTGTAGGATGAGATCAGACAGTCGGCGTCCCTCCGAGAGCCCAGTCAGTGGTGAACATAAATGGGCATCGGGATACAATCTTGTTGAAGGCCAGATGGGTACATCGAACGGCTGAAAAAGATTGTTATAGATTGGAGCTCAACGGCCTGGCAGTCGGGCGGGAATAATTCAGTCGTCGGTTTTTTTGCGTAAAGCACCCCATCAGGAGGGCTGCGGTCCCACGTATTTCGAGCTGCGATTGTGACTATTCAACGCCACACGACCAGTCCAGTTTTCCACACCTTCGACGGTAATACTCCCGATTGCAGGGATCCAGACGAACCGGGAAGACAGGTTGCCCGTTAGCCTAGCTGCTGGCTGCAGACGCAGGTCTGACGAATAAGCAGTCGCGGACCAGCAGCGACATTGCTACCAGAGTGCGGTGGACTGAGATCTGGCACACTGAAAGGCTTATAAAAAGCCGCAAAGCCCAATGACGGCATTGTGACATGGCGACCGTAAACCGCCATTAAATAAGTTTGCTTGCCACCGCTGCCTCGTTGTTAGGCTTTTAAGCCAAAACGCTAGAGGAGACAACCTGAAACAAACAATCTGAGCGGCCGTTAGGGACCTGCCCGTATTCGAAATTCCCAAGAAACCTCATGAAATATGTCCGACTGCAGTATTACGACCCATGATACGGCGTCCGCGGGAACCGACGCGCTCCGCAACCCTGGTACAGTGGTGCCGGCGAATAGTATGCGAGCTGGACTACTCAATCGGGGACGGACTCTTGGTATTGGATGCTGGGATGTGCGAACGTTCCTGGACCCCGGTACCCAAAGTCTGACCGCACGCAGCCTTGATCAATACAACTTAGATGTCTGCTGTCTGTCTGATGTTCGACTCCCTGACTCAGGCTCCCGTGAAATAAAGAGCCCTGGAGTCGAACCACACATCACCCTGCACCACAGCGGCCCGCGCGGCTCTTCTGGTCGACACGGTGTGGCGATCGCCCTATCGCAACAAGCGAACCCCACACTACTTGCTTGGGAACCAGTCAATGACCGGACGACCTACATGCGACTGAAGGGTCACTTCACGAACATCTCTATCGTCGCTGTGTACGCACCAACTTCAGTTGCCAAAATGCGCGATACAGAGGCGTTTTACTCGCAGTTGCAAGCGTTAGTTGAAAGACTGCCTCGCTGCGATCTGCTGATTGTTGCTGGCGATTGGAATGGTCGAACTGGGTCTGGTGACCCCACAACGAGTCATCTTCTTGGCCGCTTTGGCCTTGGTTCCCAATGTGAAAATGGTGAGAGATTGCTGAGCTCCGCTGATCGAAACCGACTGCTTGTCACCAACACATGTTTCCAGCATCGCAAAAAACATCTGCTGACCTGATATCCAAACGACGGCCATATAGCCAATCAGACTGATTACATAGTAGTCAGCTCATGTTCCGCATGGCGCCCTGGCTCCATGAGGTGATTGGACGAGCGTGGAGAGACGAGGTTTCTCCTGATAACTGGGACTCGGGCATCCTTGTACCTATCCCCAAGAAGGGAGATAACACAAGATGAGAGAACTACCGCTGCATAAGCCTCATCGAAGTTGCTGCGAAGATCCCCGCTATTGTTCTACTCAGGCGATTCCAGGCTGTGCGTGACTCAAGGACGAGGCCCAACCAAGCCGGATTTCGTGCTGGACGTGGATGCACAGACCAGATATTTACACTGAGGCGCATTCTCGAATTCCGCCATAGCTACCAACAACCGACGGCCGCCTGCCTAATTGACTTTGCCGCCGCGTTAGAGTCCGTCCATCGTGAGTCCCTGTGGCGGATAATGGCGCTAGATGGTGTACCGACAAAAATCATCGTCATGATCAAGACCTTTTACCGCTCCACTACTACGAGAGTCCTGGTCCGCAACAATCTTACCCAAACGTTCGGTATTCGGTCTGGCGTTCGACAGGGTTGTATCCTGTCGCCAAATTCTGCTCAACTACGCTATTGGCCGGATTCTCGGGAGGACCCTACACGAAGGTGGCGGTGTTGAGTTTGCACCCGGACACCGACTGACTGATCTCGACTACGCCGATGATATCGCCTTACTTGCTTCAAGTTTTGTTAATCTGTAGTCTATGGTGTCACGCGTGAACGAGGTCGATAAATCAGTCGGTTAATCCATAAACGCTGGGAAGACTAAAGTGTTTTCAAGCCGCATCCCTGACCAGGAGAGGGCAACCCTCGGGATCGATGGTTGTCAACTTGAAGAAGTAGACAGTTTTAAATGCCTCGGGGCGAGGCTGTTGCCTAATGGACAGAGTAAGGATGACATTGTCTCCCGAATCAATGCTGCCCGCCGGGTTTTATCAGGCCTTCGAAAATGCCTATGGATCCGACGCGACCTCTCCGTCGCCACTAAGATTCACGTGTACCGTGCATCTGTCCGGTCTGTCCTTCTCTACGGTTGTGAATGCTGGGCTCTGCGCGTGGAGGAAGAGCGAAAACTGGAGGTATTTGATCACGAATGCTTGAGGGTCATCCTTCGAGTGAAGTCCCCCGACTTCGTCTCAAATCAGATAGTCCGCGCTCGCTGCGACAACAGCGCACGGATAACTCAGGCCATCCAAGAAAGACGACTGAGGTGGTTCGGGCATGTTCTTCGTCGTCCACCCCAGGAGCTCAGTGTTACTGCCCTCGATCCGGCAGCGTTGCCTCATTGGAGGCGTCGAAGAGAGGGGCAACTCAAAACCTGGCCCGACGCAGTCTGTCACGACACGGAGGTAGATCTTGGACCTTCCGTATTCGATCTCCGTCATTGGCAAAGAGAATGGGCGGAGCTGTTCAGATCTGCTGCCGCGGATCGTCACGCGTGGAGAGGTACAGTTCGTGACATCATCGAGGTCGGCTAGATCAGGCATGATCGCAGCCGTATCAAGTACAAGTAAGCGAATAAGTCAGACGCCGCCATGACGGTCTTGAAAGCGAACTAATAGTCACAAGTCAGCCTCGTATGCTTTGATAAATGCGGTTTTCCAGCCCCCCTGAGCTGGACTTTCAGTCAGCAAGAAATTCGGGATGTGTGTATATGTGTCCTCCTCTAAAATGGTCCAGAGGGAAAATGTGCTGGACCAGTAGGAGGCCAGAACTGGGCTCAACAGGTGTTATTGGGGATGAGTATCCATAAAAATGTCGCACATGGGATAACTCTATGCGATCCATATGCGTCAAATCCGGCCTCCGGCTTTTTCATTCAGCGGCAAAGAAACTCCTCATCTGAAGTCGGTCTCTTTCACACGACCTGCCGGACAGCTTGACTGCCACACCCTGTGCCCCACAGGGTAGGCGTATCACCAGCGACTTGCGTGTGAGTTATTTTACAGTAAGACAGACTTCCACAGCATCTATCGCACAATCCCTCTCACACCCACCTGACACCGCTGACAAGACGATCTGAGGACGATTGGGGGTAGGCTGAGGCGCAGAGACTGACAAAGGTACACACAGCGTGTAACCGCAGAAAGGAGGGTTCAGATCGAACAGACCAGAACGTACGCGGCGGTGGAGCAGCAGCAGCAGCAGCAGCATGATGGCTGTTTTCGCCGACATATCGTCTATAGTTCCGTTTCGTGTCACGTGTACTTTTTGAACGGAATCCAACGTGGCGGCGAAGTAAACAAAGTGCGCGGTCAGCAGCTGGCGGTGGGCATGGCGCCGCCAACTCGGTGGTGCGTTCACATCCGGTTGAAAATGCAGCTTGGGTCATTGCGGGCAGAAGCGCACTGAAGTGGCCGCAGGCGCAAGGTTCTGGTGGCCACATACCACTTTTGCCAGTCCTGCGATACATGCGCGTCCTTTAAATCACCTGTACTGGCATCCCACGCAACCCATGACCACGGGTTTCCCCGGAGAACGCGTGGGGCTGGACACTATCGGCCCGCCGCTCCCGATATCCACACGCGGGTATGAATACATACTATTGATGATTGACTACTTCACGAAATAGGTCGAAGCGGTGCGCCTACTCCGCCGAGACGCCAACGCCGTCCTGGATTTTCCGTTGGGGCGTCCCCCCTAGCCTTCCACACTGACTGTGGGAGCAATTTCGACTCGCGACTCTTCCAGGCAGTTTGCCGCACCCTGGACGTCAACAAAACCCGCACAACACCCTAACACCCCGAAGGCAACGGTCTGGTCGAACGAACCAATCGCACTCTTCACTCTTCGTCTTTTGTAAAGACAGTCACGAGCATGACTGGGACACACAACTACCCTTCTGCATACAGAAGCTCAATCCACACCTCCACTGGCTTCACACCCCACTACCTCTGGACCGGACGCGAGCTACGTCCTCCAGTAGATCTCCAACACCACTTAGACGTACCTGACCCCACTACCGTTACCACATACGCCTCACAACTCCGCGAAATAATTCGGACCGCCTATAACGCGGGGCGCGAGACGATCGGCACCTCACCAGAAAACACAGTGCGACCACCGTTCGACCGGAACCACACATCAAATCGGCGACTTATTTATGCACCACAACCCGATACCCCAGCGAGGAGTGTCAACCAAGTTCCATTACCCGTGGCAAGGCCCCTTTGTCGTCTTAGATACCCTGTTCCCCACGACCTATCTCTTACGTGACGCTTCTCAACCCCACGCGTCACCCTTAACAGCAAACTCAAACCCCACCGCGGTCGTCTACCCATCTGCACACCCGACTCCCTACCCATTATCTCCTATGACCAAGTTCCCCCAGCAGCAGTCGAAGTCACTATGCCCTCCCCCATTATCCCCAGGAGCACTGAGGACAGTACGGCATCTACAGGGGGGGGGGGCTATGTAACACCCCAGCAGAACTGACGGACAGAAACCCACAAAGTGGATGATCACCAGCTGGCGGTGGGTATGGCGCCGCCAACTCGGTGCGTTCACATCCGGCTGAAAATGCAGCTTGGTTTAGTCAAGTACACTTCGCAAAAAGAGTTCACGGGGCTTATGATGCTACTGCTGATCTCGAAATGTCCTTCATCGGCCCTTGTAAAAGATGGGCACAGAGATGCTTAAGCCCCAGCCGCCGGGAACGATCAAATCTCACCATCTTAATTGCCTCATGCAGTCAGGGTGTCGGAGAGTCGGTGCTGGATTAACAGACTACAGCTAGAATACTGGCGTCTCGAGACGCCTTGCCGTTGTGTCGCCTAATTATCGCATAAAGAGGGATGATGGGCGTGTCATCAAAGTTGACAACGTCCCCAAAGTGCTTACACTAACACTCGACCTTGGCCGAGTTGTCAGAAATAAAGCCGCTGCTCACACCGTTAACAAAATTAGTCAGTATGGAGGACCTACCATTAATGCGAAGGATTTTTCGAGTGTCACCGGTGCCAGTTCAGCCCAGTAGTATTTCTGGTCATCTCACCTAACCGACTTTGCCGTCATCCTAGGGAGTTGGCAAAAGGAATTAACGCCACGAAATCTGGTTCGAGCCGTTTGCGACACGGACGGCTAAATCGGAGAATTGTTTCGGCGCCTAGGCTGACTACCCGTGTTTCGCCGATATTCTGCCGCCGAAGGACACAATTGCGTGTGATTCGGCTGGTCAGTGGGTCCCCAAACATTCCTCCTCTGCTTTCTGGTTGATACTCCAATTTAGAAATTGCTGATTTTTAATTTCCTCAGAAATAAACTGCGAACTTGGAGTAAATCGGTATATTCTTCGGCCCAAATAGTCGTGCATAAAAATTTCAGTCTGAGTCTATAGACCTAGAATATACTGATCTACTTCAAGTTCCCAGTTAAGTTCTGAGGAAAATAAAAAGCAACAATTTCTAACTTGGAGTATCCACCAGAAAGCGTCAAAAGGTCTGAGAGCGTGTGCTATGCAAATATCAACAAGCAATGACCGTCGCAGCCTAATATGCTCTGGCAGTTCCCTGACACCTGGTTCCCTGCCGGTAGATGTACTTGTGCCCCCGCGTGGTATACAGGTGGTGGGCATGGCTGCCCAGTCATCATCCTCGTCCTTCTGACCCCTGTGGGGTGTTGTTGTTGTTGTTGGTGAAAAATCCTTTTGAAGTGTGTGTGCGCTGGACCAACACGGGGGCCACATCGGACTCTGGCAGGCGTTATCTGTGCGCAATAACAAATGCCAACATTCCCGGGGTGCGCTGGCGGACCCTGTTGTCGGCATTCGTCGCACAACTGGACCACTGCCATCACCCCATTGTTTTGTGGTCAAAATCCTGGTCATTTGTGTGTGGACCAGGGGGTGCGGAGTGGAGCGCCAAGGCGAGGATCCGTCCAAGCCATCCACCTGCGGCCTCCCCCGTCTCCGGTCTTCTTGACTCTGTCTTGACACCGGGCTCAGGCGGGGGAGGAGGAGAGAGAGTAGGTAGATGCTACGCAAGTATACCGGCACTATAAACCCCTGCGTAAGTCACCGTCCCTGCTCCCATTGCTGCTGCAACTGTGGGGCACCCGGTGGACATCATCGAAACCGATGGTCGAACTGTCGTGTGTGCGTTGTGGGCCAGGGGTGTAGTGGCACGCCTAGGTGCGGGTCCGGCCGCGCCAGTCACCTGCGCACTCCCCCGCCTCCGGTCCTCTTGACTCTGTCTTGACACCAGGTGCGGGTGGGGAGGAGAGAGTGCAGTGGATGCTTCGCAAGTCTGCTATCGCTATAAACTAATTCACGCGCAAGTCGTCGTGTCTGCTCTCACCTCGCTGTGGAGCACACAGGGGACATTGTCGGCAGCGACGGTTAAACTGTGGTAGAGGAACGCTCTCTCTCTCTCTCTCTCTCTCTCGAGTCCAACCAGCAGTCGCGATTCCCGAAATCTAAGGAGACAAACGTAGGTAAACGCCCTTTACCCTTTTCCTCACATCGTTGGGGAAACGGAGTAGCGGGATTCTGTCAGTGAAAGTGTGGGAAGGAGTAGAATGAATGGAAGTCAATCGCACCGATGAAAACGACCAGATGACCGGCAATTAACATTAGATTGGCTTTAATACTGGGTGGACAGAGAGACGTTGAGATTATGCGCTTTAGCCAAGAAAAAACCAGTCTGAAACGTGAGATATCATGCCTATACGCCTCTCTTTCGTGTCATGCCAATTAGCACACCGGGAGGGTGTCGATTTGCTCACAGGGCGTTTACCGCGTGCTCATAATGGACTAAATGGCGGCCAGTCAGGGGTTGAGGGAAGATTCAATGCGCGTCTAGAAAACACAATTCACAAAAAAGTATCCCACAGAGCCCTGACTCCATACCCCTTGCACGTGGGACAGTCGTTTGGACGAATTAACATTCACGTAAGATGCCTTTCCTCACGAAGAGTCATTAGACGGCGACCTCGCCTAGCGTCCGGGTCACATGCTCCATGCCGAACTCAGTATTCACACCTCGGTGGCAGTTTCGACACAATTGGGCGAGTATCTCGAAAGCTGGCGAATTCGCGTGGGAAGCCTGGTTCGGCATTGCGAGGAGCAGGCCCTGTCATGGTGTAGATAGACCGAAGGTTCTATCTCGCGTCCACCTGCTCTTGTTTTGACTCAATGGGGCTTCACAAGTCCCCCTTCCCCCCCCCCCCCATCATCATCATAATCATCCAAATCAGACCTGACGGACCAACAAGTACAAGCCTATCATCCAATCACAAATATAGTCAGTGCATGGACGCCTGGAAATCACCGTCAATCTTAGTGACAATATCACTCAGAGATTTTAAAGGACTCACATCCAGATTGCAGAAGAATACGGTCGGCAGCTTCGCGCTAAGGTCACCACCAGCCGCAGGCGGGGTTTCGGTGTCAAATACGGACTTGAGCGTGGCCACAGTGATGAGAGGTGTGAGGGCGGCAGTAGACGGCGCCGCTGATGCCGGCGACTGTCTGTGAACCTGCAGACCGTGCGGTTTGCGCTGGGCTTTCTTTTCTCTGCAACGGAGTGGAGAGGGAGAGAGGAGGGGAGGTATTACTTGAAGTATGAAATCACTGACAAACTGCAAGACACCCCCCCCGCCACATGGCGCGCACAGCTTTTATGCATGATCTGGGGGATGAGGGGGGGGGAGGAAGGGTGGTCCAAATCCTAGGTAGTACCAACGGCCCCGAGTTGAAGACGGCATTGGCAGGACAGGAATGTTCATGTAAGCCTCCCGCTCATGTTAACAATACTCATCAGTGCGAAATATCCGTTGTTTCTGGTTGCCCATTCTCTGCCGTCAGGTTGGACATCCGCTGGGCTGGAAGAAAAGTAGCGGCTGAATTCTGATAGAAATAAAATATATACGGCCGTATCAGGACGGCGCTAACTACGTCCTCTGACCCGGCCACCGCTAAAGGATCGCTTCAGCGCTAAGGGGGGAGGGAGGTTACCAGGCCATGAACCGTGCGCACGGTGCACATGTTTACTCCCCCCCCCCCCCATCGAAGGTACGGGAAAAACACTTCACCGCCTACGCGTCTCGGCGGTGGCTGGGGCGTAAGTGCAACCGCTCTGGCAGCTTCATTTGCTAAGCGCCCCATCGATCGTCCCCTCGGGGGTGAGCAGCCTCGTCAAGAAGCGAGACGCCGCGCTCCCAGCCGGACAAACGACCACACGGGCATGACTCACCGAAAGCTGGGCAACGGATGTGTAGGCTCGAAGGGCCCTGGCAACAGAACAGGACGTGAACGCAGTTTGGCAGGAAAAAAAACTTTCAGTCCATTCCACCCCGTTGGGGCAGATTGGTTTCCGAGCCGTCTAATTCTGCGTT